CCCCCCACCCCCAGGAAAGGCAAAGGCTCAAGGAGATTTTAACTCTACCCACATTTACATATTACACACATTTAGAGAAATACAGTAGCCATTGTACTGGAAAGCCCTTCCTGGGCAGCTGTGTGAAGCTGTGCAGATGTTCCGCACACACACGGCTCTCTGCCAAGGGGACATAAGGACCCCAGTCCATTTCAGAGTTTACTTACCAAGTAGGATGGGGGAGTCCAGGGCCACATCGGCTTGGAGGAAGGGGTGCTGAAGAGAAGCGCCTCGTCCTCCTTTACCCAGGGGCCCCTTATGTGTCAGCCTCTGGCCTGACCGTGGCCTGTGAGGCCCATGGGAACTCTGCTCCCCCAGGACCTGTCTGAGCTCGTCTCCGAGCCCCTCCCTTCTCTCCCCACTGGCTGTGCCCTCGCCAGCCCTGCCCCGCTCAGGACCTTTGCACCTGCTGTTCCTGTGCCCCGAAGACCTCTCCAGGCACACACACCCTCACTCTTTCAGGCCTGGGTTCAGAGGTCACTCTCCCTGCGCTTCCCACGTGAGAGAACTTCTGGGATTCCTTTTGACCCTTGTCCCTGCTTTTCTGTCCTCCCCCAGCATCTGACTTACAATGCGTTCTCTTGTTTAGCTGCTTTTCGACTGTCTTCCTGCCCCAACCTCCTTCCTACGCAGGGATTCTTCTCATCCACAGCCACCTTGTCAGTGCCTGGAAAGGTGCTGCCTGAATGTGTGATCGGTGGATGGATGGACAGGCGGCTAAGGCAGCCATTAAGAGCACAGGCCTGCCACCGGCTCTGCTACCTCAAGAGCTGTGAGCCTTTGCCAGTAACTGAACCTCTCTGCGCCTCAGTCTCCTCACATGTGATATGGGAATAATAATAGTATTTACTTCAGTTGAGTGACATTTGTATTACTACCATTATTATCGTTATTATTAAATACTAATGACTGTACATGGAGGCTTTTCTAGGTGCCTGGCATTGGTTTTCATGATCTGGCTCTTTGCAGTGAAGGCTTACCCGGGCAGGAGGAAAGGAAGGTAGCCAGCGTCTTGTACTGATCAGCCCCATTTTGCCAGCCTCTTCCTCCTCCTCTCTGCAATCCGGGCATTTGTGATGGGGTCAGAGAAAATGGCAACCCAGGTCAAAGGCTCCTGGGGCAGGACAGGGGGAGCTGACATGGAGTGCAGGGTGGGGGAGACTGGAGAGCCCATATCAGCATTCTGCAGGGCCGGGTGTGGCCGCAGCCCTGGCAGCCCAGCGGGCAGGTGCCGGGCGTCCCGGTGCATGGAATTACTTCATTATGGAGCCTTTCATTGACTTGGCTGCACTGTGCTGATGAACTGAGACCGGGGACAAGAACACGTAATTGAGGGAAATAAATTCCCATCACAAGCCCGGCTGCAGCCAGGAGTAAGCGCCCGCCTCCTCTCGGCATGTGCCGTGGGGTGGGGCTGTGTGTAGGCGTTCTCCTGTTTCCCTGGGCGCATCGCCCCCTTCTCCCTTGCCTCCCAGCACCTCACGGACATCGGCTGCAGGCCCTGTGAGCGGCATCTCCCCAGCCCTGCCTCTGTTTCCCCGGCTTTGGAGCTGCTTTTCCAGAAGCAGGCCTCCTGCACTTGCACGTCGTCCTCTCTCTCTGCACTCTGAGGGCCAGGAACCTGCTGGGGCCGCCTTCATTCCCTTCACACACCTGTTCTTTCTCCCAGTCAATCCATCTCCCTTTGTCCGTTTGTTTGTTCACCTTCAGTTCTGTCTGCGCTCTCCGCTTAGATCTGTGAAGACAGAGCCGGGGAAGCTCGGGTTCTGCCCTTCTTAATTGAAATCGCATTTCATTCATCTGGGAAATGAGGCAGGGGAGGTGGGGGGGGCGTTTTTCCGAGCAGTCCACTTGCGGCTGATTCCACACGAAGACGGGCTCAAAGATACCAGCGCCATGAATCCATAGCGAGATCTTAAGGAAAGAATTTAGGGACCAGAGTCATTTGCATAACATGAAACTGAAAACCACACCACACACACGAAAATGTCGTGCTGCAGTGGGTTTTCTCAAAACTCGGAAATGAGTGGCTCAGGTCACCAGAGCTTCTGTCTGTAGTTGGTCATTACTAATCAGTCATTTATAGCGCACACACACACAAAATTCTTTTTTCCTTCCCCAGTGTTTTCTGGGCCTTCAAAACCATTTTCTGGAATCCTGACTGAAGTCAGCATGCACCATGGGCTGGTGATACAAATAACGGCCGGGCTGGGGAGGCAGGTTGCCTCAGTTACAAAGAAGCATGGGTGGCGTGAAGGCAGAGCAGAAAAGAAATGGAGAGCCCTCACTTGACACCCTCTGACCTCAGCCGGTGGAGCTGAATGCTGGAGAGCCGGGACTGAAATTGCAGTCACTTTAGATTATTTGGAGCGAAGAGAGGCAGGGAAAAAAGGGTCTGTTGACTACAGGAAGCTGAATTCTTCCTCTGCTGAAAAGCTTATTAGTGGAAGGGGAAAAAGCAATTACTTGCTTTTACTAGTTCTCTGTGGCGGGGATTCGGGGCTGCGACAGCCCCTTGGACCTCACCCTGGAGCCTGACTATCTATGACAGGCACTGCCCCAAGCCATTTGGGGTTCCCCTTCTAGAAAGAACATGAAGGGAGGAGTGTGTGTGTGTGTGTGTGTGTGTATAAATATGGGGGGTGGGGTGGAGAGCAAGCGAGCTATGCTTGTCCTTGTCTTTAAACGTGATAGTATTTGGGGGGTACCATGTTGGCACAGGGCAGAAAGCTAACAGGGCACTGTTTGCCTGGGAGCTTGGGTACCTGGGGCTGCTTTATGGTCGTCTTTGGTTTTCACGCGTCCTTTTTTTATCCCTGTTAGGCCTTTTTGTCTCAAAATGTAAAGAAAAAGTAGGTATTGCTTTGGACAATCATGGTACTGCTATTAGAATCCATTTGCCTCCATATCACAGCTCTACTAATTGAGGAAGATTGCTGAGAGGCCAGCATCGGGGGAAACAGGGAGCAGGTTTCACCTTTCAGATGGCCTGTTGCTTCCATCTTTGTCTGACTGTGTAAGTGTCACCATGACCACTTGCTCTCTCCATGGCCAATGCCCCTCATCCTCCTTTGGAGACCTTTCTTTGGGTCACCTCACTGTGTGGTGTTAGAGCCCTACCCTTCTCCAAGACCCGGTCTTCTAGTCTGTAAAATTGAGGTGCTTGTGGTCAGCTCCCCCAAATCCCTCAAAACAAAGGGAGAGCCCTCGGATTACCAGGTTTCTGTAAACAGCCATCATTTCTCCAACTAAATCTGTTTCACTCACGTTTATGCTTTATCCTTGTTTGGACTGCCCTGCCTATTTTATATTTGATAAATGTGTGTGTATACCCTTTTTACGTTTTTTAAAACACAGGCATTTCTGATTTGTCCACCTTAATTGTATCTAGCTAAATTTTACACAGCTAGATTTTTAGGCCGTTGACCCATCCATCTTTTCTTGCTTATGTCTTCATTCTTCATTATTTCTCTTTAAGGCTCTGTCATTAAGGTTTTCTGTCATTTCTATTCTCTTGGAACATTTCCTGTTCTTTCTAACCTGTCACCAAACTTTTTTTAGTAGTTGAGTCGATTCACAGACCCTTTCACACAGAAATTGGTCAGTTTTTTTTCCTGCCATAATATATAAGATACACTCTCTCCTAGGTTTTTTGGTTTTGTTGATAAGTTTCTCAATTGGTTACTGTCTAAATCATCTCCCCTTCCTCCCCCCGCCCCCCTTTATATTTAAAGACGTTGCTTGGTAAGTGAGGAATCACTCTTTTTTTTTTTTCCTTCCTTCCTACCCACTGGGTGATCTCATCTTTCAGGTTGCTTTCTGGCTACTTCTCGCTACACCTTTGGCTTGTTTTACTTCCTTCCTTGCTCTAAATCTTGGCCTTACAAAGTGAAGCAAAATATTTTACTTGTTGCGGGTTTCCTTTCCTTATTCTCATTCTGCTTGGGGTCCATATTCACTTAGAAGGAGTTGTCCACTTTTGGAAGTTTGGGGAGCATTCTGACTTATAGATTTCCCTATCAGAGCTTTCTACGACTTGCTCCAGTTGCAGTGCGCGCACAGAAGAATTTAAACATCCAAAATTAGTTTTTAAAATGTAACTGTGTGCTACAGATGTCTCTAGGTTCCTTATTCCCAACTGTCCCATCTACCACTTCTTTGTCACTGAATTGCACTTTCTTTCTAGAGCCTTGATGGCTTTCTCATCTTGTGGCCATATTTTCTTTCTCCTTGGTTTCATGTATTAATTCTATTCCAGTGTCCTCACCATTAAAGAGTAGGTGTATGAGTTCAGAATCTAAGTTCTTTTATTGAGTTGTTTGCCTTGATGATTATGACTGCATGTTTTTGTACCTTAAGATGTATCACAGTATAAATTTCAGGGTGCATCATGGAATGTGTTGCTTTTCAAGGGATACCAGCGTGTCACGAGGCCTAAGAAACACCTTAGAAGTGGAAAAGCTAAATAGATGCATATGGGGTCCTGAGGCCGAGTCTGAAATGCAGCCAGTAGCTCTGGCAGTTTTTGAGGAGGGGCTGCTTGTAGCTAAAATCATTGTGAAGGAACAGGTGTGGTGGTGGTGGCAATGGCGTTTTGTTAAACCCTTGAAAAAGAACATCTCGTTGTACAGAATCCAACTTTTAAAAATACAGAGTCTTTGTATTTAACCACTGGCATAACTTTGGACGTTTCTAAAAAGGAGGAAGATCCAAGCATGATCTTTCTCCCTTTGAGCTGTATAAGGTGCATGTTAAAAATGAAAACAGTTTTGCAATCCCGTCTGCTTTTTCTCCTGTTAATGCAGGAAAGCTCTTCAACATAAACCTTTGGATTTTCTCTGTTCCTGAGCTTCCTGCTTCACTTTCTTTGCAATTTCCGAGGAAGACACGGCAACTGAAACATGTTGCTTTCTGCTGCCTGGTTGTTTCAGACTGAAGTGCGTTTGAGGACTTGAGAGTTTTGGAGAATGGCCCAGTTTTTTACTCTCCACGTGTAGTCACATCCTTAAATGTCTCAGGTGTGACCATAAATGCTCCTGGCAGAGGCAGGCTCATCTCCGTGTGCACCAGACAATGAATGAGTAGGCACCTGCAGACCCCAGACATGCTTGGAGATGTGAGACTGTTCTTGGCCACCCCCGGAACAGCGTGCGCCTCCAGCCTTGCATTCTGGGATGTGTAGTGCTGTTCCATACACAGTGACCTTTGTGCACGCTTGGGTCTGGCCGAGGGAGAGCAGTTTAGCCAGTGATTTTTCTGGGAGCAGTGTTGCCTGAAGTTGGCCTGATGTCTGATTCCCAGATTTGGTTTGGAAAGTGTAAGCCTTTG